ATCTGGATGGAGCTGCTAAGCTTCTCACCATGCTCCCACCCACCCACGCCCCCGCCCCGTCCACTGCACGGGATGAGTGCCCGAGAGCCCCACGACAGAGGGTAGTGCCATGGTCTGCAGGCAGCAGGCTGTCCCTCAAGTGTCTCAGGGACCCCTGTGACAAGTCACTGCCTCTCTGAACACCAGCCTCCTAGGGGGCTGTGCCCCGGAACTTACACTCGGTGCCTACTTGTGTGTTGGATGAGGTGCCAAGACAAACCGGGAGGGGCCCGCCCACAGTCACTGGGACGTGGGTACAGGTGGACCCTTCTGGGGTCCCCAGAGCCTGCAGTTACTGATTTGATGAGTCACCCCAAGAAAGTCATCTCCCTGCCCGTGGTCTGTTTCTACTCCTCAGACATTGGACAGAGCAGCCTGGAGAAGAGGAATGTGCACAGTGGATGGTGGGCAAAGATGGGCATCCACACCGCCTCTTTGTGGATTGTGTGACCTTGGGCAAGTACTTAACGCCTCTGAGCCTCAGGTTTCGCCATCACGGTGCCAGTAGTAATGCAAATACCCACACCTGGGATGGTTGCTGGTACCAAGAGGAACCATCCCCATAAAGCATTTAGAAAGGGCCCAGCAGGTCAACTGCGTGTATGCTGTTACCATTTTATAAAGAAAGTTCTTACATTTCAAGGCACCTGTGGGCATTATTCATCTAATTCATATTTATTTAGCAACCAATAAATGTCAGGTCACCAGGGTGATCAAGCTAGCGATGGTCTCTGAGTTCTCATGAGATTTAAGTCTTGTGGGAAAGACAAGTGAACAGGCCACTGTATAACTAGTAGCTCTACCACTAACTTGCTTGTGCCCGTAACCTCTCTGAGCTGGAGCTAAGACAGGAACAACAATGACAGGAATCACTGAGATAGTACAATTTGGAAATTGTCCTCACTCAGCAACAATTACAGTTTAAAGGAGGTGTCAAAGTCCTGTGTGTTCTCCAGGGAGAGGGCTGAGTCCTGAGGCTGAGGGCCAAATGAAGGCCAGGGATGTTAGGGGGAGAGGTCACAGCTGGGCCTTGACCCACGAAGAAGATTTAACTGTGGCGAGAGGCCCGCAGAACATTCTGGAGGGGCCCTTGTAAGCAAAGGCCGGGTGGTGGGACCTCCCAAGGTGCCTCAGGGGCAGGGCTCTGTTGTGGGGGCCCAGCTCACTCTGCCTGGGGCCAGGCCACTTGGGCTTGATTCTCAAGCTAGTGGGGAGCCATAGGGACTTTTAGGCAGAACGATAACAACGTTTAGAAACCAGTAACCAATGATTAGAGGTCAACATGCAGTGGTGTTCAAGAGGAAAACTGCCTGAAGCAGCCTTGCACTTCTTTTGTTTTTATTTATTTTATATTTAAAAAATCCTTTTATTTACTTATTTGAGAAAGAGTCTTTCTCTGTCATCCAGGCTGGAATACAATGGCACAATCATGGCTCATTGCATCCTCTAACTCCTGGTCTCAAGCAATCCTCCTGCCTCAGCCTCCCATGTAGCCGGGACTAAAGGCACATGCCACCACACCCAGCTATGTTTTTTAGCTTCTGTAGAGATGGGGTCTAGCCATGTTGCCCAGGCTGGTGTTGAACTCCTAGCTTCAAGTGATCTCACCTCTGCCTCCCAAAGCACTAGGCATGAGCCACCGTGCCCAGTCATGGCTGTTTTTAAACATTAACTTTTTCTGTCAGATTTTGAGTGGGGAAAAAAAAAACCTTCTAATTACACAAATTACATAACCGTGACATTTCACTTTGAGAAATGGCAACATTACAGATAAAGCTGGAATCCCTTTAACCAACTCCCATAAACCTTCCAGGGGTAACAGGTGTTGTTAGGCTGTGTGTGTCCTTCCAGATCTGGTCAGTGCATTAACACATACATATGTTTCCTTAGCAAACACACAGTACTTGTCAGGTTATAGGATGCACATTAAATATGTTGTATATATCAGCCTGTAACTTGTTTTTATTCAACAGCATGTCTTAGACAGGACATATTTATATATTTTGCTGACTCATCTTTTTTTTAAAAAATGGATCAAAGTTTAAAAAAAAATTTTAATTTATTTATTTGTTTATTTTAATCAATATTTTTTATTTTGATATTGTGGGGTACAGTTAAGGGCTGGGTATACACATTTGTTTCGTTCAGGCACCCTTGTTGATAAGGGGTATCACCCCGGGATCAAAGTTTTACTGTTTGTGAATATAAATTTAAACTATGAATTATGTACAAAACTTTGATTATAGTTTATTTTTTATTGTTTTTTTTTTTTTTTTTTTTTAGTTGGAGTCTCACTCTGTCACCCAGACTGGAGTGCAGTGGCTGCTCCCGGCTACCGCAGCCTCGACCTGCTGGGCTCCGGTGATCCTTCTACCTCAGCCTTCCGAGTAGCTGGAACTACAGGTGCGTGCTACCACACCCGGCTAATTTTTGACTTATTGTAGAGATGAGGTCTCACCAAGTTACCCAGGTGGGTCTCGAACTCGCGGGCTCAGGCAATCCACTCACCTCAGCCTCCCAAAGTGCTGGAATTACAGGCGTGAGTCACCATGCCTGACTCCAATATATTTTAAAATAAGTTATGAGAAAAGTCAGGAGTTCAAGACCAGCCTAGGCAACTTGGTGAGACTTCATCTGTACAATGAATTTTTAAAAAATTAGCCAGATGTGGTGGTGCATGCCTGTAGTTCCAGCAGTTGGGGAGGCTGAGGCAGAAGGATCGCCTGGGTCCAGCAGGTTGAGGCTGTGATGGCTGTGAGTGTGCCACCGCACTCCAGCCTGGGTGACAGAGTGAGACTCCAACTCAAAAAAAGAAAGAAAAGAACAAGAAAATATACTGGAGAAATATGCCCAAGTTACCCCTCTAACATTAAGATGAAGTGATAATTGACAGGCCACTGTTGTTTAGTTTATTCTAGCTGCCATGAATGAAGAGAAAATTTTAACTTGTTCATAAGGTGAAAAGAAGATGGAATAAATTTCAAACACGAATTCTTTGGAAAGAAGCAGTTAGTTATGCAACATTTCATGACTTAATAGGGTTTAACCAAAGTCAACAACACACAATTTCCTAAGAGGAAATAAGAGAGGACTTGGAAAACATTCGATCCTTAGCCTTTTTAGGTTGCAGTACTGGCAAATGTGGTGCAAGTGTATCATTTATTCGTCCAAGGCCGCACAACACAGCTCTCGAGTATTGTCTCCCAGGGAACTCACATACATGCGCTTGACAGCCGTCGACAACATCCCTGGGGTTGCGTGAGGTGTCTTGCTCTGGGTTCTGAGATCCCGGTTTCTGCGCAGCATCTGCTGCGTCTCTGACTCCCGCCCTTTAACTGTACCTGAGGCTCGGAGCATGCACGGACCGCACAGGCACCTGCGCCCTTAAGATTGTGTTTAGCCTTGACCAAGCCATGCTGCCTTGTGCATGGACAGCTAGGTGTGCCCAGTGAAATGGCCTGTGGCCTCCAGGAAGGTTCTGAGGCTCTGGGATAACCCCCTTTTCCAGTGCCCCCCCTCCGCCCCCGGGCCCGCCTAGAGGGATTTCGTGTGAAGGGGTTTGCTGAAGCCAGAAGCAAGGCATGCGCTACTCTCCTTTCTGGCCGGGCCTCCTCCTTCCTTGGTTTGGACCAGCCCTGGGGCCCAGGCCCTAAGCTGATGTGGGTTGTAGAGTATAAGTTCTGGAAGGTGGGGCCCTGGACCTGGTTTGCTGTGAGCCCTGACTCTTCACGACCAGGCTCTGGAAGCACAGGGGCACACTGTGCCAGCCTCACTCACCAGGAGGGAAGCCCAAGGGGATCCCTCCACTTAGCATAGGAGACAGTGTGGCTTAGTGGTTAGGAGTCCCGAGTCAGACACCCCTGGGTTTGAGTCCCAGCCCCAACCCTTACCAGCTGTGAGAACTCCAGCACCTCATTCAGCCTGTTTTTGTTTGTTTGTTTGCTTGTTTGTTTGTTTTGAGTCGGAGTCTCACTCTGTTGCCCAGGCTGGAGTGCAGCGGCACACTCACAGACACCGCAGCCTCAACCTGCTGGGCCCAGGCAATCCTTCTGCCTCAGCCTTCCAAGTAGCTGGAACCACAGGTGTACAAACTAATTTTTTGATTTATTGTAGAGATGAGGTCTCACCAAGTTGCCCAGGCTGGTCTCGAACCCCTGGGCTCAGGCAATTCTTTCACCTTGGCCTCCCAAAGTGCTGGAATTACAGGCTTGAGCCATGGCGCCCGGCCTCAGCCGGTTTTCTCGTTCGGTCTGTGGCCCTAGGATCCTCAAGCTTCCACCTTGGGATGGGAGTGGAGCCAGGCATTGACTCTGTGCTGGAACCCGCTCAACCTGGGCAGGGCAGGCCCTCTCTACACCGCTCCTCATTTGACTCACCTGTTAGAGGGAGGGGTTGTGGCTGTTGGGGAGGGTGATTACATTCTGGGCTACCGCATGCTGGTAGTACCTGGTTCACCATCTCCTTTCTGTGGCAGGAGGAGGTGACAGCTAGATCCGGCAAGTGTGGTCAGGAGGTTGTGTGTGGATTTCATAAGTGTGGCGGACACTGCTAGTTGTCCACACAGCATCTTTTTCTGCTCTTTTTTTTTTTTTGAGTTGGAGTCTCACTCTGTCACCCAGGTTGGAGTGTAGTGGCATGCTCACGGCAACCCCAGCGTCGACCTGCTGCTTTTTGTTCTTAATAGTAGGACTTCATATTGTTGTGGGTAGTGATATGCCCTGCTACAAAACACATTACCCAGCTTCTCTTGCAGATAAAATGCCCAATGGAATATAAGTTGAAGTCATCGGTTGGGGCTTCTAGGAGAGCTCTTTAAAGCTGAGAGATACATTCCTGTTTGGCTCTACCACTTTGTATATTTTTCCTACCTGGAAAACATGTGATGGCGTGGCTGGAGCTTCAGCAACCATTTTGTGAGCCCAAGACAATCTCAAAGCCAGAAGTCACACACTAACAGAAAAAAGCCTGAGGCTTTGATGACAACATGGAATTGATGACAACGTGGAAGTGCTGTACTGGCCCTGGACTGTCCACTCTGAACTTCTTTAATGTGAGAGAAGATAAATCATCATCCTGTAAGTCACTGTCATTTTAGGTATGTACTGTGAGCAACCAAACACGTTCCTGTCCCCATAAGGAAGTTCCCAGGGTCTCCTTTTCAACAGGTGGGGCCATGTGAGTTGGATGACAGTTCAGGCAAGAGAATTCACAACAGTTTGAGTGTCCCCAAAGCTGATGGATGGATGTCCACCTGGAAGAAGGTCTCCAGTGAGGTGCCACAGCCTCTGCTCCCAGCTTTGTCACTGGCATTATGATCGTGAATGGAGATATGACCGGATCCAATTTGGAGTAAGACCCAAAGAGATCCTGACAGGCTGGAATAATGCATCCAGTCAAACAAGACGGAATCAGTGGAGCCCTGTGCACCTTTCCTCCAAGTTCAGGGTCAGGAGGCATCGTGTGAACAGCAGCACACATGGAAAGGGCATGGTGGTCATTGCCTCCAAGGCATCGAGGGCGTGGAGAGCAAATGTGACCCCAGCTGCATTCGAATTCACCAGAAGCAGGGAGGCCTCCCCCAAGGAGGTAACGGTTCCTGGTTCCCTGGCCCAGGCAAATCATACCTAGAGCACATGGTAAAACCTGGGGTCACAGTTTGTGAGGGATGGGAATAAACAGCCCAGGGGAGGGAGGCCTGTGAGGGAGCTTGAAACCAGGTCACTGCAGAAATCGCTGAAGGACTTGATGGGGCTTAGTCCAAAAAGAACACGTGGGGAGGTGATAGTTGTCTCTGAGGCCCAGACCTAGGGAGCACTCCAGGGAGAGTCTGAGGAACTTTCTAAGTCAGAGGCACTGTTTCGCGCAGGAGGGAGCAGCCTGCTCCTGGAGGTGGCGGGAAGAGGCTGGATGACTACACGCTAGGCATGTAGGGAGCTGGGGTGAGTGGCTGCCGTGGCCTCTGCCAGGCTCCACCAGACCGGGGTTGGGCCTCGTGGCCCTGAGGTCCTTTCAGAGCTGAGGCTGGGGCCAGGGAGAGGACAGGAGCTGCCTCAGGACTCCAGGCAGTGTCAGGGCAGGAGCACAGGGGCCCTTCAGGGAGTGCAGAGGGAGCCACCTCCGGTACTCTGGGCTTGTGCCACCCTACTCTGCCCTCCTCTATGCCCAGAGCTCAGCGGTCCACCGGGCCCGCTCTCTGCTGGAACCACAAAGTGCCATTACCTTGGGTTGGGCTTGCCCATGTGGCGTGGGTCAGCTTGGTGCTGTGAGGTGTGCAATGCCCATGTCACTAACCTGTTAGCCAGGTGAGGACACTGAGGCCTCCGTCCAGCCACCCCCTGTCACCTTCCCAGGACTTTGCTCCCAACCACCATTGACTGAGGAGGGCCGAGGCCCCAAGTTGCCCCCACGATGTGCTCATTCAGCTGTGGTCCTGCTAGGGGTGCAGCAGGCAGTGTCCCTGGCCCAACCTCCCCTGGGTGACTTCACCCGGGCCCCAGCAGGCGCGCGGGCTCCGTGCTCTGCTCCCCAGAGCTCTCCACCCGCTCTTTCTCCCGAGAGGCCATGCAGGACCCTGGGAGTAGGCCCAAGGAGCAGGGGCCAGGTTAAGGCCTGGCCTCTGGCCCACAGAAGTCCTTTCTCCCCTTTGGGTCCCTCCAGGCCCTGGGGGTGTCCAGGCTGTGGGAATCCGGACGGGCAGGGAGGAGGCAGGGCCAGGAGGGGGATGCAGGAGCCGTGTGGTCTTCTCATTACCAGCCCAGCAGAGAGGACCAGCCCGGCCTCCCCTTGGCCACGGGGGCTGCCTTCACACCTCCCGGCTGCCTGTTGACACAGAGGCCACCTCCCTCAGGGCAGAAGGTGTTGACTTGGGAACGAGGGTGTGCAGGGGCCTCCAAAACAGCCAGCAGCAGACCCCTCAGAAGCCCTCTGGGGAGGGGCTGGACACTAGGTCCCAGCCCCGGGAGGCCTGGGACACAGAGCCTGAGTCCCTGGGAGAAGGGTGGCAGGAGTGAGGGCACTGGGGGTCTGGTTAAGGGATCCTGGGGCTACTGCATGGGCACAGCCGGGGAAGCCCGAGGACAAGGCTTTGCCAAGCAGGGCCCCATCCATGTCACGAGAGGCCCGGCACTGACAGGCACCAAGACAAGGTCACAGAACAGCCCCGGAATGGGGCCGCCCAAACTGGGTGTCACACCGGCCTGTCTCCTGAGCCCCTTTCCACAGAGGAGCGAGTCTGCCTGCTGAGCCTGCGCCACTCACACCCCATGACCTGCGGCCTGTCGCTCTCCCCTGGCTCAGATGCGGACACTGAGCCCAGAGAGCTCATATCACTTGCCAAAGGCCACCAGAGCAGGGTCCCAACCCACTGGCATCTGGCTTTGAGTCAAGGCTATGCTCTACACCACTAGGGGCACTTGGGGCTCAGGGTCTCGGGGAGGGACAAATCGCGGGCTCGGGAAAGGGAGAAGGATGATGAGTGGGCTCTGAGTCCCATGAGGACCTGGCGTGCTGGGCAGTCATGGAAGACGACAGAGGGGCTGGAGCCAGCAGGGCAGGTCAGGGGAAGGGAAGGGTCTGACACGGTGCGTTTCTGCACACAGAGGAGGAGGCAGGCGTTCCTGGCTGAGGGAAAGGTGTGAGCCTGAGTCTGGAAACAGGCCTGCCCGGGGTGATTTGGCAAGGCCCAGGAGGAGGTGGGAGCGGGTGGGTGGGGAAGGCCTCCTGAGTGAGGAGTTTGGACGCCCAGGGAGGCAGTGAGATCCACAGGCGTTTTGAGGTTGGAAGGCGATGAGTTGAAGGCAGGACACCAGCCGGGAGAGGGGCTCATGGGGCACGGGCTGACGAGCAGGGGGCGCTAAGGGCAGGGCCACGCCAACGGGGAGGGAGCATGGAGAAAGGAGAAGGGTGCAGCCCCTGTTGATTGGGGGGCAAGGACGAGGAGACACCGCGGGGAGCTGTCAACAGGCTGGGCACCCTCCGCTCTTCCCCAACAAGGCCGAGCCAGGGAGGCCCCAGGACCGTCTGGTCCAGCTCCTGGGGCAGCAAGGCCCATGGAAGCAGCACGGCCTACGGCCGGCGTACCCAGGCTCAACTCTTCTGAGCCTCAGTCTCCTCATCGATGTAGTGGGTGTCCTAGATGGAGTACCCTGTGTTGGGCACCAGGGACTCTGCAAGTCCTGCCTGCCTTCCCTGCTGGAGGGGAGTGACTGTCTGAGGCCCTACAGCTCTCGGGAAAGACAAAGGGGAGAGTGAGCGGTGCCCAGTCCATGGACACAGGGGCTGGGAAGGAAGACCAGCAGCCTGGAGGGGCCTGCGCCCACCTGCTGAAGTGCGAACAGGCTGGGGAGGGGGCTGCAAAG